TCTTATATAGACAATGGGTCGTGTCTCATATTATTTGTTATATTTTTATTATTCATTGTTTTCACTTGACTCGCATAAATAATTTTGTTCGAAGAACATTTATATGCAGTTGTACTTCACAGCACTTTACTTGCAATTTGCAATTTCTAGTTATTATATTTATTTTATTCAACTTTCACTGGAACAAAAAAACACCAGAAAGGCAAGAACAGAATAGGTGAACAAGCAAATCTAAAGAGTCGTCTTACCACCAGAGAAAGATTTAATTAATAAATTAATACAATTTATATTAGAAATTTGGATTTGTTCAATTTGCAAATAAAAATTAGAATACTTTCAGCAATTAACAACCACCACTGCAATGACAAAACAAAATCCATGTGCAAATATTTTTATTCATTGCATCTATGGTTTTTGTTGCTCAGGACTGGATAATCTTGCTGGATATTGAAAATAATATCAAAGTAATGGAGAGCATGAATTCTTAGTACTTTGAAAAAAAAAAAAAAAAAAAAATACCACTACATTCCCTTTTTTGTGCAAGAGAAACAAATCCAATGTCACCAAGATCAATTCAAAAATAAATAAAATTTATATTAAAAATAAAGATTTGTCCAATTTGCAAATAACAAAGTGAAACTCAAACACAAAATTTTCGTTATTTAGAAACAGTGCAAAACATGTGCAAGTATCAGGATAAAAAAAAGGGAAAAAATATATACTGGTTTGTTAGAAGGTGTTCAGATTGGATGAAAAACATCATATGACACAGATTACTTCCATGGAATGATAAATGTGTTTAGCAAATTGTTATGGTCATTAGGGATATAAATAAATCTTGTAACAGGTACAGTATAATGCAAGGTTATAAATTAATAAACTGCTTTGTATTATTATATAACATATATTTCCTCAAATATAGGAGAGTGACTGCCAAGTAGGAACAGGGTTTCTATGAAAGAATTGGCAGCCCCAAACATCAAAGAACAAAAACAACAACCAATGACACAACAAAACCTCTGTGCCTGTGCACGTATTATCAGGAAGAGAAAAAAAAGGGGAAAAAATACATACTGGTTTGTTGAATGATGTCCAGGTTGGATGAAACATAATTAATGTTCATTTTAACATCATATGACACAAGTGACTTTATTTGGATGATAAATGAGTTTCCCAAATTTAATATTACTTTTGGATAATAGGGGTATGAATAAATCTTGTAAAAGGTACAATGCAAGGTTATAAATTAATAAACTGCTTTGTATTATTAAATAATAAAATATATATTTCCTCAAATACTGGGGGTGACTGCCAAGTAGGAACAGGGTTCCTATGCAAGAATTGGCAGCCTCAAACATCAAAGAAAAATAAAACAAATGGCGAAAGGAAACAATCACGCACAGCAGAGATTCTCCGCAAAAATAAAAATAGGTTTGATTTAACTATGTAAAGGAAATATTAAAATTATATATCATTTATAATTACAGTATTGTTTATTATGATTATTTTTTCAATTGTTATTATTTTTGTTTTAAGGTTTTTATTTTAAAATAACTGAAGTAGGCCAAAGGAAACAAAGCATTACCAACAGAAAAAGAGAAAGTAATATAAAGGAATGAAATTAAAAAATAAATTACAAAGCTCAGAAAATAATAAATGAATAAATAAATATGCATTTGTAAAGCTGAATAAAACATAGATAGTAGGCTAAAAGAATAAACAGCACTACTGAAAACAAACAAAATAAAATTATGTAAAGTGAAAAGATGAAAAAAAATATAGAGTTATTAAAGACAGAAATATAAACAGGTCAAAGAGCGAGATAACAGAAAAAAGTATAACCTTTTAATGTAAGTTCTGCCAAGTAGGAACAGGATTCCTATGAAAGTATTGGTAGCCCCAAACATCAAAGAGGGAAAAAAAAAACCACTTGAGTTGGCTCTCTGTCTATTACGGTAAAAAAATATATAAATAGCATTCTAAAATCAACTTTATCAAGATATATGTAAAATTGTCAATGTGTGAAAGTTTGAACTAAATTGGTCCAGTAGTTTTTGAGTTATGTGCCCGGAAGGACACACACACAGACACCCATACAGACACCCATACAGACACCTGCTGTTGAAATACCCTTCACCTCCTTCGGAGAGGCGAGGTTAATAATTTGGTCTGTGTCTCATTGAGACACGACAACAACTTATTTGATGAGTGATTCAATATACTTTAACTAATCAATTATTACAGTGTGATGTGTAACTTATATTTGGCAGGGAGATGTTGAGCACTTGAAAGCTAAGATAAAAGACAACATTTTAAGAGGACTTGTTCTCAGGTGTGTTGCTAATTTTATTCTATTATTTTTTGTTAATTAAAATGTAAATATATTTTCCCACATGAAATTTGAATGTCACATTTTTCTATATTCCATCTTTGCCACTAGAAATCCTAGAAATTTTTTTACAGGCTAATTTATATGTTATTATGGTTAATGGTTACAGCACAATATATATTGTATGTATTATATATTACATTAGTTACAGTAGTTGTAGTTCAATTTATTAAAATATAAAGGATATTTTGTCCAATAAGATTTGTCCTATAGCCTTTCCTAGCCATTTACCTCTCACGTTAACAGTAGGTGGTTGTTTTCGCAACCATAACATTGTCTTTTCCTATGCTATCGCACTGTAATGTTTTTCATGTATATCCAAGTTCGGTCACGTGACCGCCTGTAAACAGTCATCGCTAAATCCCTCTGTTAAATTGTAATTAACTTGGAGAGGATGTTTGTGATTTATTTCTTCATTTATTTTTTTAATATATAGTTCAATTTCTTATTCATGTGGGAAGATCAGTAACAAACTATTGTTTGTCTGTAGGAGCCACTAACAATTTAAAAACTAATTCTGATGAAAAATTGAAGCAAGATACCTTGCTATTTCAAACTTTATTTGTTGATTATCAGCATAATAAAACTTAAGAATTGGAGATGGATTTTAAAGTAGTGATAAAAAATCCTTGTTGGGAAAGGATTTGAACCCAGAACCCAGGGATTGTAAGGCACCAAGCTACAGCTCCATAATCGATGTTTGACCTACCTGATGTGTTACTGTACTGAATGCTCAGTACGTTCCCCAAATGCTTACGAAAAAAATCCCTCAAATGATTCAGGTGAGAATTGAACCCACGGCCTCCAGAAACTAGCCTGGTGTCTTAACCACTTGACCACAGAGCTTGTGCTTGGTGACTAGTGATGAATCCGATCCCCAAGTAGCAGCGAGTATTTCAATGCTATTTCAATGGTGTTATATAAATAATGTTTGTTTATGGGCTCTACACATTACTACTGTAGTTTCATTAACAAATAAATACAGTAAGTCCCTTGTTACTTGTTCCATAAAAAAAAAATGCCTCCACGCTTGTTAAAACCCATTGGCATCTAGCCTGATAAATACTTCAATGTGATAGATAAATTGATATCCTGTTGGACAACATTATTTTTTATTCCCAGGGGAAATAGTTCAACATTTGTAGCTTCTACTGAAAAGTAAATTACGGTGGTTCTATGAGGAAGCTTAATTTAAACTCCCCAATTGGGGCTTATTTATTTTCTTGGCATTATAGGAATGAGAAGGCAAACAAGAACTTTACGACTTCGTTTATTGAACAGTTATTCCAGGAGGAAGGGAAGGACGTGTATGTATGCCGACAAAATGTTCTTGGGCATGTGCAACAGGTGGGAATTTTTATTTTTGGAAAAACTGTGGGTAATAGGTAACTGGTGGAAGGGTGGTAGAGACATGCCCATGGGCATGTGCCACAAGTGAGTTTTATAGTTATTGGTGATATTAAATCACATAACATACAATGACATTATGTTGTGATATCCCATACCCTAAGAGACTTGAACTTGAACCAAAAAAATCGACTTAATTTTATTATTGTTTCCTATGCTAATGTTTTTATAATTAGTAAACTGCCATTTCTCTTCCTTTTTCTAATATTATTAACCTCCCTCATTATGACCACCTTAAATTTATTTATCAATATCACCACTGATTGTCTGAAGTATCATTTTTTCAGTCAGTTTCCGAGGGTATGGGTTTTACTTCATCTGACGTCAAGGGTATTGTCTGTTATTTCTTTTAATTATGGCAAAAAAAATGAATTAAAAAAAACTGTAGCATTTATGTCTGTTTGTTAAAATGTTGGCTTGCTGACTTTTTGAGTAATACCTGATTTTTGTTCCATAATTGTAGGGTGGTGCACCCACACCTTTCGATCGTAATTTGGGAACCAAGTTGGCAGTGAAAGCAGCACATTTCCTAATAAAAAAAATCCAGGAGAACAAAACAGATGATAGTAAGAATTTTTCAACTTTACATAAACACAAAAGCAATGCAATGAAACTAGTATAGAATAGAACCCAAAACCTTGCACAACACAACAAGTCATTACCATGCAAAGCTAGAATTTGTTGTTGATTTGTTGCAAGAATTTTTGCCCAGGTTTTTTATTTCCGTAGAGTTGTAACCTTCACATTTTCTGAATCCTGGGAGGCTAGATGAAATCTGAAGAACTTGCATTAAGTTCAAGGTTTCTGTTTGAATTCTGACTGGATGCAAGAACTAGGCCTATAACTCCTTCAATTTGTGATAAATAAGATAAAAAATTGCCAAATTAACATCCCCAAACAATGTAGACATGAGCCAGTAGTGTGTTACAGTATAGTTTCTTTTTTGAGGCCAAATTCTTCTGTTTCGTTTTTGTAATTTATAATAGTTAAATATTTTATATTAATATCATGATTACTGTGACCTAGATTTTACAAAAACTTTGCAGATGTATTTTATCATCATGAGCAATGTAAAACATATTCAGGTCTAGAATTGTCCTACTGGTAGTTACTGTAGATTAAGCCATTTTTGGTCTGTATTATACTTAAAATTAGAGTGAACCCAGAAAAAGTGCAAATTTATTTATGTGGTGATTATGATGTTTATTATATACACTGAAATCAAATGATTAGTATATTTCTCGTTCAACAATGGATGAATTGTGCAATCTGAAAATCATGCTCTATCCTTTTTTCCTTCATGCTGCCGTTGATTTCCCCCTCTCAGCCGTCATGGCATTCTTCCCCTTTTCTTGCCTTCCTAACACTGTGGCACATTCAGCGTTGTTTCTTTCTTTTTTTGATATCCTAATCCTCCATTCTTCTGCAAATATTCTTTTTTTAATAGCATGTTACCAGGACAACTAAGCATGGTGCCATAATCAAACATGGTCATAACATGGTGGCGCTGTTCTTGCTTGATTTGATTGATTTATTATGCCAGCTAATATTTCAATATAGTGATAAAAGATATGCTTACAATTAGCATTTGACATGATGCTATTAACCTGTTGCCATCCAAACGTAAACAGAATCTTTGGCAGAAGTCCCAAACCAAGGATTTTTTTTAGGGTCTTTTTATTTTTTGATATACCAGTACTCTAATCAAATATAGATCCCTATAATGAGTACCTCCAGGCTATTTCATTGTGAGTTTGCATCAGAAAAATATCATAGGAGTAATGTTTTGCCCTAACTGACGTGTTATCGTACCGAATACCCAGTACTGTACATTCCAAAATACTTGCAAAAAAAAAAAAAAAAAAGTGTAAGTGATTTGGGTAGGAATTAAACCCATGACCTCCAGATAACTAGCCTGGTGCCGTAACCACTGGACTACTGAGCTTGTGACTAATGTCTAATCCGATCCCCAAGTAGCAGTGGATACTGCAAATGCTATATTGATGTGAGTTTGCGTCAGGAAAATATCACAGGAGTGATGCCTCCAGGCTGCAATAATCATCCCAGGCTTTTAAATAACAATCCTGCCTGTATGTGTTTCTGCAGTGTTCATAATCTTGACAAATTTTTATTCATATTTCAGACTCTGTCTATAGCAAAGGCACAGATACTGCTGTGGTTGTCGGCCTCCGCAAACGAGAAACCATGTTCACACCAGTGCGACTACTGAAATTAGAAACAGATTTCAAGTAAGTGTCTTTCTCCATTCAGCTTACTAACTATAAACTGCTGCTTTTTACTTTATTTTTAGGCTGGCTTTTTTTTATCAGT